TTGAGTTGCACTACATGGTCAAGAAGGACCTGCCTAATAGACCAACATCTCCCACCACGCACCACAATAAAGTCAAAATGGGTTCGTGATTTAGATATAAAGGCTGATACCGTAAGCAAACTGGGAGAGCAAGGAATTGTTTACCCTTCAGATCTATGGAGAACAGAAGAATTCATGACCAAACAGGAGATAGAGAACATTATGAAATGCAAAATGGATAATTCTGATTACATTAAATTGAAAAGTTTTTGCACAAACAAAGCCAATGCAACCAAGATTAGAAGGAAAGTAGAAAATTGGGAAAGAATTTTTACAACCAGTGTCTGTAACAAGGGCCTCATTTCTAAAATATATAGGGAATTAAGTCAAATTTATAAGAATACAAGTTATTCCCCAGTTGATAAATGGTCAAAGGATATGAACAGGCAGTTTTCTGATGATGAAATCAAAGCCATCTATAGTCATATGAAAAAATGTTCTAAATCACTATTGATTAAAGAAATGTAAATCAAAACAACTCTGAGGTAACACATCACACCTATCAGATTGGCCAACATGACAAAACAGGAAAGTGATAAATGTTGGAGAAGATGTGGGAAAATTGGAACACTAATTCATTATTGGTGGAGTTGTGAAATGATCCAACCATTTTGGAGAGCAATTTGGAACTATGACCAAAGGGCTATCAAAATGTGCATACCCTTTGACCCAGCAATAGCACTTCTAGGTCTGTATCCCAAAGAAATCATACAAATGGGAAAAGGACCCACATGTACAAAAATATTTATAGCAGTTCTTTTTTGTGGTGGCAAAGAATTGGAAATTGAGAGGATGCCCATCAATTTGGGAGTGGCTGAACAAGTTGTGGAATATGAATGTAATAAAATACTATTGTGCTATAAGAAACAATGAACAGAAAAACCTAGGAAGACTTGTATGGATTGATGCTTAGTGAAGTGAGCAGAACCAGGAGAACGTTGTACACAGTAACAGCCACATTGTGCAATGACTAACTTTGATAGACTTAGCCCTTCTCAGCAATGAAAGTATCCAAGACAACTCCAAAGGTCTCATGATAGAAAATGCTATCCACATCCAAAGAAAGAACTATGGAGTCTGAATGCAGATCGGAGCATATTATTTGCTATTTTTTTTCTTCTGTTTTGTTTTGTTTCTTCTTTCTGGTGGTTCCTCCCATTGGTTCTAATCCTTCTTTGCAACATGACTAATGTGAAAATATGTTTAATAGGAATGTGTATGTATAGCCTATATCAGATTGCATGCCGTCTTGGGGAAGTAGGTGGGGAGGGAGGAGGAGAAAAATTTAAAACTCAAAAGCTTATGGAAGTGATTGTTGATAACTCAAAATAAATTAATAAAAATTAAAAAAAAGAAGGACCTGCCTAACCCAAAGAGTCTGTGATTCTGGTTTAAATTTGGAATCAGCACAGTGGAACCCAGAAGCTCAATTAAAACTCCTAAGCACATATCCCATGGGTGTTCGAGAACCAAGATCGCCAAGACGTTGGATTTTGATGCTGTACCTTTAGGGAAAACAAAACAAAACAAGGGCCCTTGGGACTGAGTCTGTAGTGGCCAGGAAAATATCGACAGAGCATCCTTCCTGAAGAGAACTGGAAGTTAATTGCCATTGGAGGAAGAGTCTAGGAGGGAAAGGCTGGCAAGGCTCCAATGCTGACGAGAGTGTTCTGAGAAGGGCTGCATTGGGAGCAGGCAGTCAGGGCTTTCAGGGACTGGTGAAGACTTACCCCACCTCCAAGGTTTGAGGACGAGCCAAGTGGAGAGGCAGAAGGGCATGAGCAAATGAGAGAGAGAGAGAGAGAGAGTTGGAGAAATTACAGAACGTGTATGTGTGTGTGTGTGTGTATACATATATACATACATACCTACATACATATATATATACATACATATATATATATACGTATATTTCTAGACTGCCTTTTGAACCCAAAGGAATAAATATTTAATAAGGGAACAAGCCAGTAGCAGACTAAGGGGTGGGGCATTTGGTGCATTCATCCCCAAGAGCCCCTGAGAAGCATTACTCACATCCATTATCCCATGTATCACACTCCCATACCCTTATTAGAGATTTCTACAGCATGAATCCTAGGAGACATGCTAGACAGTGGGAGAGAGCCCTAGACTATGCAAGGTAAAAATAAAAAATCGGAGCTGCTGAGTATATGCAGAAAGATACCAGACCTTCCATGGTCCAGAGACCAGCCCAGTGGCCTTAACTTTGGATCAGCAGAGGGAAAAATAACTAGGGGATGGCTGCTTACACACAGCCAATAGAAGGGCCCCCTTTGCAAGCTACATATCAGAGGAAAGAGACCTTGGGAGGTATTGATAAGTGGCAAAGAAGTAGCTGGAGAAAGAGATACATGTCTAAGAAAGCTTTTAGAGATTATTGAGCTTGGGGACCAGACAGACTAATTCAAGGAGCCATCTGCTTCATCTCCTATAAGGCCTGTTATGGGAGTCTGGGTGAGCTGGGTTAGGGTGAAAGCTCATTCCCAAGGAATGCCCTTTGTACATTCCAACAAGCCTCTGTTAAGACACTGCTCTGCACCAGGCACTGTCCTAGGGACCCGAGATCCCAAGACAAAATAAAGCATTTCCTGCCCTCAAGGGTGGTAAGGGACCAGACAGCTCACAGAGAGTTTTTCTAGAGCATAGGAGCCAAAGCATAGTGGGGAGAATGTGGGACAGATTGGAAGGCCTATAGAAAGAGGTCTGGGAAAGCTTCTCCCTGAAGAGGGCAATTGTTTCTGAAAAGGCAGTTCCTCTGTAGAGAGCTTCACTCACAGACGTTGTGTCCTGTGTGTGTCCTGGTGCGACCTTGGGAAAGGAAGCTGGAGACATCAGCTTTGAGCCTCCACCATTGGACACGTTTGTTTGGGGTATTTGGATTCCACCACCTGGGCAATAAGCAGTTTGGGGCTCTGTGGCGTTTAGAGAAGCCACATGGTCTGATAGCAAGCCAGCCTCCCAATCAAGACCTGAGTTCAAGAGGGGCACATACTGTGACCCTGGGTAGATCCCTTCACCTGAGTGCTCTTGGGCAAGTCTCTAAGACTGTGAGTGCCGGGGGTGTGGTTTATCTGCATTGGGTGAGGGGGGTGTTTCTACACTAGAACTTGCCTCCCATTGATGAAATCACAAGTCCGGACCAAAAAATAACACTAAGCATTTGAGGTGGGATCAATGTTGATCCAGAAAATGAAACCCCAGAAGATAAGCATCAGCTGGGGAATAGCCAAGAAAAGATGAAGATGAGAAGCAGAGAGAAGCTCGGAGTCCCCCGCTGGACAGACGCGCGCGCTGGGAGCAGGGCGATGTACCCACCTCCACACCAGCCGAAAGCCAAAGAGCGCTTCTAAACGTTATGGTCAGCACCGAGCTTGCCCCTGAGGGAGAGACAGCTTCTCTTCTTTGCCCAGGCGGGGGCCTGGGAGTGCGGACGCTGCCGCACTGCCTGCCTTAGTGGGCGGGTGGGTGGGTTTTGCTCTTTTGGTCACTTTCTTTTTTAATCTTTGTTGGAGTGGCTCTCGCTTGGGGAGGGGGAGGGACCTGTAGGAAGATCGTTGTTGCTCAGTCGTGTCCAACTCTTTCTGAACCCGTGGACTGTCAATACTGTCCATGGGGTTCTCTTGACAAAGATACCACCATGGCGCGTCATTCCTTCTGCTGTGACTTAAGGCGAACAGGTTAAGTGACTTGTCCAGGGTCTCACAGTTAGCAAATGTCCGAGGCTGGATTTGAACTCAGGCCGAGTGCTCTGTCCACTGAGGCATATGGCTGCCTCATCTGGAAGATTAAAGGGAAGAAAAAACTACGTATCAATGAAAATCAAGATTCAGATTTAAATCAGTCAATTGACCTCCATGATCAGTGGAGGAAAGCATGAGAAGACTGGACGAGTACATCAGGGCCAGGTCACAAAGGGCTTTAACAGCCAAGTAAGGGCGTTGACATTCGGCCACGACGGTAATAGGGAGCCACTGGAGCTCATAGAGTAGGGCGGTGACGGGCAGCCCTGCGTTCCGGGAGGATCCATCTGGGCGCCGCTGGCAGAGGAGGCAGCGGAGTGCGGAGAGGCCTGCGGCAGCCTCACCAGTTAAGAGACTCTTGAGACAGGGCAGAGGAGGGGATGGAAGCCTGAACCGGGGCGGGGGCCACGTGAGCTACCGCGGAAAACGGGCCATTCGGGCAGCGCCTCCGGGGTCACGCAGTCTGTTCAGCCACGTTCCCTAACCGACTCAACGATCCAATCCTCCTTTTTCAGCCCCCAGGATCTGAGACTTGCCCCCAGTCACTCGGGAGGCGCAGAGCAGAGGGAGGGGCGGCTCCCAGCACTCCCTACACCCCCCCCCACAAACAAAGTAAGTGGATAGGCACGCGTGGGGGAGGGGCACGGAGGGGACCAGGGAGGCGCCAAAGGGGCCGGAGCGCGGGGCTCCCCGAACGAGGGAGGAAGATGGCACGCATCCCGGGGCCAGGCAAAGGGCTGACCGCGGTCGGTGGACGGGCCTGCAGCCAAGCCGGCTAGCCGCAGCCCGGCCTGATTGGGGCGCAGAGAGGGGGAGCAAGGGAGAGGGGGTGCAGTCCATCGGCTCGGAAAGACGGGCGGGGGCGGGCTCCGAGGGCGGTGACTTCCTCTAGCTCTGCCAGGTGGCCCCCGGGAGCCGTCCCGGGCGGGGGGCAGCAGCTCTGGCTCCTCGGGCCCCGCCCCCTCCTCCCTCTCCCCCGTTCCCCCTCCCTCCCGGGCGGAGGCGGGGCGGCCGTGGCCGTGGCCGTGGCCGTGGGCGTGCGCGCTGGGAAGGAGGGAGGAGGCGGCGGCTGCTGCCGGGCCGGGCCGGGGGCTGCAGCGATGGCGTCCGCGGGCCAGGGCCAGGGCCCCGAGCGAGGGTCGGGGTCCGAGCGGGGTTCCGGTCGTGCCCGAGGGCGGCCCAGGGCCCGAGCCCGGCGCTGGCGGCGGATACTCTACTGGATCCCGGTGCTCTTCATCGGCCTCCTGCTCGGCTGGTCCTACTACGCCTACGCTGGACAGCTCTGCGTGGGTCAGTCCGCGCCCGGGGGGGCCCCGGGCCGTCGCCCCTGCCCCAGGCCCAGGCCCTCAAGGGTCAGACCCATGCGGGCCCCACCCCTGGCCCGGGCTTCATCCAAACCCCTCGCTCTAGACCGAGCCCCGCGATGCCCCGCGATGCCCCGCGTGGATCAGCCCGCGGGCGGCTCCGGGGGGCCTCCACCCTTTGCCCGAGCCTCACTCCTGTCCCCCGCCTCTTCTTCACTTTACGTGATCGTGGGACAGTCCGCGCGGGGGTCCAAGGGGCCCCATCCCTTTCCTCACCCCCCCAACTCCAGCGCCTTTGCCCCGCGTGTGTCAAGGAGCGCTTAGACCCCCAGCCGGCACCAAATCGCCGCGCTCCCGCGTGTCCCGGGGGGTGTGTCCTCAACCCCCCTATCCCCGCTCCCAATTTCCCCCAGACCCTTTCCTCAACTAACCTCTGACCGCTCAGTTAGCGCGTCTATCCCATGCTAGCACCCCCATCCGCCCTCACCCCTCCCCTTTCTGTCCCCGCCCTCCCTGACCCCTCCCCGTTTATGGATCAATGAGGAGCTGGGCTAGGACCTTCCTGCGTCACAGCCTAGGAGGCCCCCCCAGCGTCTTCCCCGCTCCCTTGTCCGGAGCCCGCTGCTCCCCCCCACTCCCCGGCCGCACCCTCCTCTCCCGTGACTGGGACTGATTGGGGGTGCAGAGATCAGTCAAGCTTAGAAGCAGGAGTGTGGGGGCCCAGGGTGAACGTGAGCCACAGAAACATTAGCCAGAAACTAGGGGTGGGGGGGTACTGGTTAGGAACTGGGCTGTCGGGGCGGGGTGCGTTCTGTGGCAGCGGAGTTGTTCACTCATGATACAGGACACAGGGGCGCAGGGGGGCGCACAGACCTACACGGGCTAGCCCTTGGGACACTCAGCTGCGAACGCAGTATTGGTTACTAGGTGCAAGGCTGTGAGCCAACGTGCAAAACTGGTTTTATGCACGCTGGGGGGGGGGGGGGCGCGCTTCGGGAGGATCAGAACGTCTGTCCTGAGGGTAAGGCAGGAGTTCTGAGAATCCTCGGTCAGAATGGCCTGGACAGGTGGGGCTCAGAGCTTAACAGTCGCCCCAGCAAGAGAGGGTCGGTGGGACAAGAGGGCCCGGAACCACACAGCCTTTTGAATTCTCTCAGCACTAAGGATAGCTGCCCAGACACTGCAGACTGGGGAAGGGACGGGCCGCACGCCTTCGAGGCTGCCTGTGGAGTAGCCTCAGGTTGTGTGCTGAGGCGAGCCGTGGGTCTGTCCAGGAGGTTGGGGCCAGACAAACCTGAATGTCCGGCTGTCCCTCCAGCTTCTGCCACCGCCTTAAGCAAAGAGAACTTTCCTCTAGAGTATCTGCTTTGGGTTCTAAAGCTTCCTGAACATTTAGTGCCTGTTGCAGCCAGGGCAGCCTTCAGGGTCGGCCAGGGCGGGCCTGCTGGCCTCTCCATAGCCCACATTTTCCCATAGCCAGGAGGGAGGCTGTGTTTAGAAAACCTTCTGTTGGCTTTCTCCTGTATTATGGTATTAGGCTAAGCAGCTTAGCGTGGGTCTGCAGGCGTCTGCCTCGCGTCTGGAAAGCCTGTCCTGTCAATTCGGGCAGCTGAAGGGAGGGAGGGCTTTTCTTCTAGCGCCAGCGTCGCTGGTCCTCTGTCCGGCTGCGCATTAGGGGAGGACGAGGAAAAGGAACCACTAGATGCCGAACTGAGCTTGGGCCTCAGTCGGCTTTTCTTAGGTTTGGATACTTTGGGAGTACCAATGGAAAGCCCCCAGAGAGGTCTTTTTTTCGGTGTACTAGGTGGCCACGTGGAGGAGAGATGCATCGGAAGGGGCAGGGCCCCTTAACCACGCGGCAAAGCCAAGAGCACGAGATTTCTAAAGGCATCTCCCCTCCACTGAAAAAGAAGTCGGGGTGGCGTAAGGGGATGTGACCTGGTCAGACCTGGGCTTCAGAAAATCACTTTGGCAGCCAAATGAAGGACAGAGGGCATGGAAGGAGGGAGGAGAGACTGGAGGCTGGGAGGCCAGTTAGGAGGCTAATGCTGCTGGGACATTTCCGAGGTTCTCCATTAAGAGCCATCTTAGTGAAGTAGAAAAGATCATTGGACCTAGGAGTCAGAAGAACTGAGAGACCTGGCTATCCCACCCTCTGGCTCTGTGACCTTGGACTAATCACTTTGCCACTGTGGGCCTCAGTTTCCTCACCAGAAAAATGAGGACCCCGGTCTAAATCAGGGGTTTATAATCTGAAATCCATGTTCCTTGAGGGTCAATGTCTAGATTTCAGGGGGCCTGTGAACTTGAATGAAGAAAAAAGTGACATCTTTATTTCATTGTAATTGGTTTCCTTGGGAATGTTCCGTATTTGTTTCATGCATTTAAAAAGCTGATTCTGAGAAGGGTTTACCAGACTACCCCAGCGGCTCAGGACACAACAACGGTGAAAACCTCCTGATGCAGGTGATTTCTAAGGTCTTCTCCAGCCCTAACATCCTGTGATCTTGTGTGTAAATGAGTACACAATCATCTGAAAACCCTAGAAAACATACACTAGTGTGTACTATCCCTTCATGGGTTCCAGATGGACAATCCTAGAATCTTCAACTTGGACCTTAGACTGTACCTAGATCCACCCTCCATAATAAATCTCCTTTGCCATTCAGACCCCAAACATCTCCAGGACTGGATGGTTTTCTTCACCCTGAGATACACTGAACTGCCTTTGAGCTAAAATGGCCCCAGTCCCTAAACTACCCTGGTCTTCTCCCGCTGGACTCCTCTGACCCTTCCTTGCCCTGATTGGGAGGTTCTGAGACTTGAAGTGGGAAAGATTTGACTAGGAAATGCTAGTTTTGAGTGCTGGTCTCTCCCTTTACCTCTTTACCTGTGGCTTTCCAAATGTGGTTTCTCATCATTGGACTTCTCCAAGAAGGGTAGCAGGTTCCCTCGCCCATTTCCTTCTCAGATGGCCCTCATCACTAGGCAAGCAGTCCTCAAGCTAAGAACTGCTTCTCTTTTCTTTCCTCCCACTGGCTGTAGTTCTCCCCTCTGGGACCCCTTGGAAAAAATATACTCAGTGTGGATGGAACTGACCTGATTTCTAATCTCTCTTCTCCTACCTCTGTGAGCCTATCTCCCCCAAGCCTTCTGTACCACAACAAGTTGTTCAATTGCTGCGTGATGGATTTGAGTTCACTCCCCATCCTGAAATCTGTAGGCTGTGGAATTCAGTATGGCATTGAAAGAAATGATGAGAACCTGGGGAGGGATGGAGACAGGGGTTTGATGCTGCAAGGCATTAAAGATAGAGTTGTGCCTAGCCTTTGGACATGGCTCAGGGTAGGGACTAGATTAGTTTCCTTTTTTTCAAACCAAAACCTCAACAGATACAGACATGCCATCATTCTTTGTCTTACTTCTATGACGAGAGCTGGCCTAAGGTCCTGGCCTTACCAAGGCTTTTAGGGTTACTCTTTTTAAAAAATTTAAATTAAAATTAAAAAAACTAAATTCCTTTTTTAAAAATTTAAGTAACAAATACATTTTATTAATCTGTCCCTTTCACATACAAACCCTCTCCCTAAAATTAAACAAATTATTTTTTTAATCCCTTAATACATATCTACATAGTGTGGCAAAACAAATCTCATTAGCTGGTCTGAAATGTATGGTGCCTTGGGCATTTTGAGGAGAAAGGCAGTGAGTGGCATTGTGTTCCCCTCTCATTCTTTGGCCTTGTGGTTTATCATGGCCTTCATCAGAGCTCTCAAGTCTTTCAAAGTGGCTTTTCTCTACAATGTTGCTGTCATTGGATACATTGTTCTCCTTGTTCTTCTCACTTCACTCTGCATCAATTCAGGGAGGTCTTCCCAGTTTTCCTGAAAATTATCCATCTCACCATGTCTTATGGCACAAGAATTTTCCGTTTCATTCATAAACCACCATTTGTTTAGCATTCTTTAGTACAAGGGCAACATCTTAGTTTCCAATTTTTGGCTACAATAGGATGAGCTGCTCTAAACATTTTTTTTTTAATGTACAGGTTTCTTCCTCTCTCTTTCATCTCATTACTGTGTTGGTCTTATAGTACCATAACTGACTCAGAGAGTATGCACAGTTAACTTTCTGGGCTGGACATAGTTCCAAATGACTTTCGGGCAGTATTATTCTTAACAGGCATTTTGGTTTGCCTCAATTTGTGTTCAAGTTACAGTGATGGGGAAATAGTGTGAGCTGCCCCATTTTTTTTAATATGAATGCTATATTGTAAGCCTTTCATTGGATGACAGTGGGTCAGACAGTTTAGTTTCAGGGACTTCTGTGAATGTGGGACACAGAGGATCATAACTTAGCAATGTACCAAGTCCCTGTGCTGAACGTTGGGGATATGGAGATGAAAAGATGCAATTCCTGTTTTCAGGGGGCTAACAGTCTAATAGGTAGACCGTGAGTGCTTAACCTGGGGTGATAGATTTCAGGGGGTCTATGAACTTTGATTGAAAAAAAGCCTTTTTTCCCCACTAACCTCTAATTGAAATTTAGCATTTCCTTCAATTGTGAATGTAGGCAACAAAACGTGCTTCTGAGAAGGGGTCCATAGGATTCACCAGACTGCTGCCAAAGGAGCTCATTACCCAAAAAGGGTTAAGAGGGCCTGGTTCTTGACAGTGCTTTAAGCAATAAAAGAAGGAAATGGCTACTCATTCCAAGATGGGAGGGGTCCTGGAGTGAGAGGAAAGACTTGCTCTGCTGGACCCAGAGGAGAGAACTAGGAGCAGTGGGTAGGGATGGCAGAAGGGAAGCTGTGTCTGGAATATCAGAGAAGCTTCCTAGTAGTTAGAGGTAGCCAAAGTAGGATGAATGGCTTCAAGAAATGGGTTCCCCATTCCTGGGGGTCATCACAGCTACCAAAGGGTTACTCCTAAAGCACAAGTTGGTTGATGTTACTTCCCCTGCTCTACAAACTCCATGGCTCCCTGC